TTCACAGAAGTGATGGCAGAAAATTTCCCAAGCAGGGGAAAAGAATTTGACATACAGATAAGCAAGGCATATAGGACTCCAAGTAGCCTTGTTCAAAAAAAAAAAATCTACACATAGACATATAATTGTTAAGATTCCAGAAACCCAACAGAAGAAAAATTCTACAAGCAGTTAGAGAAAAGAAACCAATCACATACAAAGGAAAGCCCATCAGAATCACAGCAGGCTTCTCAGTGCAAAAGCTCAAGGCAAGAAGAACTGGGAGTGATATGTTTCAAGCCTTAAAGAAAACAACCTGCAACCCAGATTGATGTACCTGCAAAACTATCTTTCAAAATTGATGGTGAAATAAGATACTTTCATGACAAAGAGCACCTTAGGAACTTCATGAATACCAAACCAGCACTCCAAAAACTTTTAGACACAATCCTAGGAAAAGACAATGAGGATTACAACCCCAGGAAGCCCAGCAGAATGACTGCACCGGGCATGACAAGAAACTAAAAGCAAAAGGAGAGGATCAAACAAAAAGAAAAAGTCATGATAATGATAAGTCAATATGTATCAGTTATAACCATCAATGTTAATGGTCTCAACTCATCAATCAAAACAAATAGACTGGCAGAATGGGTCAAGAAGCAAGATCTAACACTACGCTGCATACAAGAAACATACTTAATTCAAAAAGAAACTCATACACTGCAAGTTAAAGGGTGGAAAACAATACTCCATGTGACGGGAGCCCAAATAAAAGCAGGAGTAGCTATCCTCTTTGCAGACCAAGTGCATTTCAAACCCACACTGATTAAGAGAGATGAAGAAGGACACTATAATTATATTCCTTGTAAAGGGAACAATCCACGAGGAAGAGATGACAATCATAAATATCTATGCACCAAACACTAGTGCACCCAACTATACAAAACAAATACTAATGGACATGAAAAACCATATAAGCCCTAATACAATAGTAGTGGGGAACCTCAATACCCCATTGTCACAAATAGATAGATCAACTAGACAAAAAACAAGCAAGGAAGTACTAGAACTCAATTAAACTCTTAAACATATGAACTTAACCAATGTTTACAGAGTGTTTCATCCTACAAATTCAGAATACACATTCTTTTCAGCTGCGCATGGGTCCTTCTCCAAAATAGACCACATACTAGCTCATAGAACATATTTAGGTAAGTGCAAAGGAATTGAAGTTATCCCCTGTATATTATCAGACCATACTGCGATGAAATTGGAGATCAACAGCAAAAGAATCTGCAAAAACTTCATAAACACATCGAAACTGAACAACACACTTCTGAATAACCAATGGGCCACAGAGGAAATTAAAGAAGAAACCAGACAGTTCCTTCAAATAAATGACAATGACAATACAACATATCGGAATCTATGGGACACAATGAAAGCAGTCTTAGGAGGGAAATTCATAACAGTGAATACGCACATTAGGAAAACAGAACGAGCCCAATTAAACAACCTGATGCTGAACCTCAAGCTTCTAGGAAAAAGAAGAGCAGGACAAACCCAAAACTCATACAAGGGAGGAAATTATAAAGATCAGGGCAGAAATCAATTCAATGGAGACTAAGAAAACAATACAAAAAATCAATGAAGCCAAGTTGGTTCTTCGAAAGAATAAACAAAATTGACAAACCCTCAGCCAACCTTATCAGAAAAAGGAAAGTAAAGGCCCAAATCCATGCAATTAGGAATGAAAAGGGTGAAATTACAAGAGAACCCAGCAGAAATCCAGAGAATCATCAATACCTACCTTCAAGAACCTATATGCCAATAAGATGGAAAACAAAGAAGAAATAGTCAGATTCCTAGACACATATGAATTACCAAAGTTGAATGGAGAAGACCTAAAAATTCTAACCAACCCAGTGTCAATCACTGAAATTGAAAACATAATTAAAAATGTACCAATCAAGTAAAACCCGGGTCCTGATGTCTTCACCGCTGAATTCTACAAGACATTTAGAGAGGAACTACTGCCACTACTGTTGAAACTCTTCAATGGAAATGAAAGGGAAGCAATACTCCTGAAATCATCCTGGAAGCAAGCATCACCTTGATCCCTAAAGCAGAAAAAGACCCTACCAAAAAAGTGAACTATAGGCCAATCTCACT